GAGAGTTTGTGTTGAATCGAACAGTCAGTGAAGTTGATGGTATGCTGCACATAGAAAATACAGCGGCGTTTAATATAGCTCGTTGTAACGCTCAAAGTTTGTTGTTCGACTCTTATGATGACAAAATAAGAAGAAATTGAGAACTGATTTATAGCAAACATGTTGATGATCCACTATAAAACAGGAAGACCAACTACAATGCTTATCAACAATATCAGTTTCGCAGACGTAAATGATTTGAATTTCACAAAGTGTCCTACATCGGCCTATGCATGTACAAAAGATGATGAGTGTGACCCATCAAATTCGACTATTGATTCAGAAGATGGGAAGGTGAGAGAATTTATCCCGGGATGTGTTCCTATTTGTGGGGTGTGCAAAAGTGGATTTGTATGTAACAAAGCTGCAAGGTGTGTGGCGATAGTGTACCACAACACCAGGAGTTTTTCTGTTGGTCCTTTTGTTTTGATTCTTTCATTATGTATTCTGCTTGTGATGTAACTAAATAGTAATTGGAGTAACTTCTTATTAAGTTTATTTTACTATTCATTAATAATAATAAAACTATTATTATACTTTAAATTTGTTTATTTCGTTTGCACATAACATGTCGTTAAGATTGTACTTTTTGTTTACAAAGAAGGTTGTCTGTTTCAATGTGTTGTAGAGGTGTTTGTGATAAGCTTAAATTCCTTTTCTGATATCTTTTGTAGAGTGCAAATAAGAATCCAATGAATATTGGGAGAATCATGTTAAAACAATTCGCAAATGCTAAAAGGAGAAATGTCAGGTATATCGAATCGCTCCCATTTGCGCAATCAAAACAATTGACAATAATATCAAAACACACTTCACTTCCTCCGGCGTTTGTGCAGTGTGGTACGGTCCTCCCTTCGTATTGAAGGCATTTACAATTTGAGCGGTCAAAACAACAGAAATTCTTTGTGTGAAATTTCCTTCAATGTTTAAAAACTATAGATATATAGTACATTTATTATAATTAAACCAAACTTGTAGTTTTCGAACAAACGGATTTTTCAATAGCAGACTTTTCTTGTTCACTGATTGTTTTTAACTTCCCACTCTGAATTTGCCCTACAGGGAATGTTATGACGATGAATAAACAAAAGACGACTGCGTTGAAAGCAAAGAATATATATACTGCTTCCTCGTGTATTTTCTTGCAAGCAACGTATGTGCACAGTGGAAATACAATTGATCCCATAAAGAGGAATGCGTGGAATGTCAAACTTCCAACCACAAACGAGACTCTCCAGTCGAATAGAAATTTGCTGTTTTTAGTGATCAACAAATAAGGGATTGAGGTATCAAAGCAGAACACCAACGTAGCAGAGAGTGCAACCACACTCTATCTGTTACTTCTATTTGTATCTTATTAATATTAAAAATTAACAAACTACACTCAGCACTTCAAACATTAACACCAAGAGTCTCCCCATCACAACCCTTCCCACTGTTTCTTTAGTTTTAGTTATTTTTTGTGAAGTAATTTCAATGCGAAATTACTTAATAAATCAACAATTCAGACTTAAAATCACAATAATCAATTACCTGTGGTAACTTCAGTCGTCTGATATTTCAATAGGCTCGTTATTGGTGTTGTCGACCTTTTGATGCTCTGCCTGACTTTGTCCGATTTCATCCGTCGCATTAACTCCGTCAAAGTTTTTGTAACTTGTCTCGGGATCATTCTCTTGTGGACGTACTTCCTCATCATACCAACTCTCTCCATTGTCGAGTGAAGCATCATTATGTAATTCAGAACCTTCTTCATCTTCTTGTTTATTGTTTTCCTCTTCTTCTGTCGTGTCATTTCGCTCTTCACTTTCAGTGTTCTCTTCTTTTCTTTCTTCTTCATTATTTTGTTGTTCTTCACCCTCTTTGTAGTGTTCTTCCTCTTCCATATTATTATCGCCATTGTCATTATTATAATTATTATTATTATTATTGTCTTGATCTTCGTTAACATCGTTTTGTGGAAGATTGACGTTTGGTGATTGACTTTGTGGGGGGTCTTCTACTTTTGTTAACTCAACAATTTTATTTGTCAACACTTCAACTTGGTCCCCACACATTTGGTTGACTTGGAATTGAATCTCTTCCTCGTCCCCCTCGGACAATTCTGCATTTTCTACGACCTTTCCATTATTATAAATTATAATTAATATTATTATATTAAAAGAATAGATTAGAAATAAGTGAGACAACAAATAAATAGCTCGTTAATTGAAAACCGAATCTATATTAATAGTAAATATATTATAAATGAGTAAAAAATTATTGTTTTTGATAAAATGCTCGTTAAATAAAAGGTGCCACAAACTTGAGGAATTTCTCTTGCTGCTAATTCCAATGATTTTGCCAATGCGATTCTATCCTCCTTGTTTTCACAAATTTGTTTGTTAAAGTTGTTAATAGTTTCACAGTAATTTTCTGCTTTTTGTTGGATTTGTTCCTCCAGTGTTTTGTTCTGTCGTTCGAAGTATTCTGCTTCTCTGTCTTGGTTCTCAGCTATTTCTAGTTGTTTACTCCAATCTGCCAAATCCTTTTTAACAACACTTTCAGTTTGTTCGATCGTCGCTAAAAATTCAGAAGTCAGACGTAACACCTCGAGCGCGCGGTTTGTCTCGGCAAGATTTTCTGAGGCCGTTAACAATCGCTTTTTGGAACGTTGTGTTTCTGTCTCGAGAAGTTGTTTGTGTTGTATCGCTTCAATAAGTTCAATGTGATGAATTGCAGTGGTATATTCCGTCTCACACATACCTTTGTTTCTTTTGTTCATTCATTTTTTTTATAAAAGTTGTTTAATTTCTTTTATAGTTTAAATTAACTATATCAATTCGAATTGTTTTTATCATTTAAAATTATATTTCTAGTAAAATAAATTGGAAAAAATTGAATTTTTAAATTTTTTGTATTGAAAAGATAAAATAAATTTACTATTAAGAATAATAAATTTTTCCATTTTAATGACATTTTTTTTTCTTTTACAACTATAATTATTAAATATAATTCTTAATAAAATGTTATTTTGATAAATCAAGAATAATTTCGCCAAGTGATTGCTTTTTGTTTATAAAAATTATCACATGATATAATGAGACATATTATCATATTATAAGAACTTTCATATACAAAAAACTAATTCCAAATTTACAGAAATGAATATGTCAATGTTTAAATAATCCTTTATATTACTATATAAGATAATGAATATGAAATTACCATCGATTATTATTATTATTTGGTTTGTTCGAAACAAGCCAAATTACTTCTAAATAACTTCCTCCTTATTCCTAACATTCTTTTTAACAACATCTTTCCACCAACTATCAAATTTAAAACTGATGACCACACCTCAATATCAAGAATCTCTCGAACACATAAACAATTTTGAAATATTTACTCGTTCATGGGAAGTCCCTTCACCAAAAGCAATATTATTTTTCCAACATGGCTATGGCGAGCATTCAGGTCGTTATATAGAGAACATAGGTAACTATTTTAGTACAAAGAATTATACCGTTTATATGATGGATTTACCTGGTCATGGAAAGTCAAGTGGTCTCCCCAATACCGCAAAAACTTATATTGATTCCTTTGAGACATACATAACGACTGTAAATGCTTTTATTGACATGCGAAAAGCTCAGTTATTGCATACCAATATCAACGTCCCACTCTTCTTCTCGGGTCATTCAATGGGTGGGTTAATCACTTGTATGCTCTCTACACGACGTAACGACATCACTGCATTTGTCGCATTCTCCCCAGCTTTGGTCCTCAACAGTTTGTTAGTTCAACTGTTCTTTTGGGTGTTTTACATTCTCGCCTTCTTCTTCCCACAGATCATCATCAAAACAACTCCACCAGATACTTTCTTCACTAACAAACAAAAGGCAAAAGACTTCGAAAAAGACCCACTCGATTTATGCTCATGCGCTTGTGTGAAAACATCTTTAGAAATGCGAAAATTCGGTGCACTTGAAAAGGAAAAGGATGTCACTGTTCCAATGTATTTACTCCAAGGCGCCCAAGACGCTTTGGTCAAAGTCGATGGCGCAAGAGATAAGTCTAAACACTTCAAAAACAAGTTCTCAAAATACAGCGAATATCCAGCAGGTAACCACACACTCTTAGAAGAAGATTATTATCTGGAAATAGTCGAAGACGTCGAGAAGTGGCTCGACTCTCTCATCAACCAAAATTAATTCAAAATAACTATAATTATAGTTCATTTTACTATTTATCAATAGTTAACTAGACAATCCAAATTTAACCAAAGTCAGGCAGACTCTCGACATACCTTGTCAACGAGAGTTTGACATCGTCGTCCAAATATGACTCCTTAATCCCATTAAGACACAACCCTCTCACAAACTTTTTACTGTCAACATCGTTTTTACAATACGCTTTTACTGCATGTGTGACTTCTTTATCAAGAGACGTTCTAAATATTCCTCTATCATCACAACAGATCAGTTTAGTCCCAGTAAATTCTCCAGACATTCTTGGGTGTTTGCTATATTCAGTTATACTTTTTGAGACAATGTTAGAAGTTAAACACACTTCACAAGCCATCCCAAATTGATTCATCAGATCAACGTTCTCTTTGGAAAGAAACACACCATGCCCAACACGACTTGGCCCACACGACAAGAGATGTTTTGCTTCATCGTCGTCAACTTTTTCACCAATGTGCATTGTGACACCTAAACCGCGTTTTTTAGCATCATTCATTAATTCGCAAATTTCTTGCCAATTACCTTTGAAAGGGTTTCCACTGAGTTCGATGCCTTTTACAAACGGTGTGGTCTTTTTAAACTCTTCAGCTAATAAAATTGTTTCGTGTGCCGATGAAAGACGCGAACGATTGATTGAAAGAAGAAGGTATGGGTAAAATGGCGTTTGTTTAGTTCTGTTGTTTAGATATTTTTTTATCGCAAAGACAACCGAATTCACGTAATCTCTTTGCGACAAATTTTCAAGCGCACGTGGTGTTGTGCGTATTTCGACAATAATCGCATTATCGTTATCGTAGTCCTCTAAAACTTCCGTGGTCAGCTGTTTAATACGATCAAGTGTTGTTGTAGCTTCGTAAATCAAATCAAATACAACAAAACAATTCGAAAGTGACTCCTCGCTTGTTGACGTTGGTGACAAAATTTTGTCAATTGTTGTTGTAATATTTGGATTTTTGTGCCATTTTTTCAAAGTTTCCTCTCTGATACAACCATTCAAATGTGTGTGGAGCTCAACTTTAGGAAATTGGTTGATGAATGAATCCATTTGAATTAATTGTTCTGAATCCAGGGTTTTAAGCAGGGTTTTCATTACATTAAAAATAAACATTCTTTGATTTTTTTTTTGAAAATGAATTGTTTGTGTAGAAACAATACATTTGCAAAGCACATCATTTTGTTGTTATTTGATGGTCGAATTGATATCGATATAATGATGAATCTCTTTGTATAATATATCAAATTGTGTTATTACAATTCGAATAAATAAAAATTTTAACAAAATCTATTGCGACAAAAAAACATCGCAATGGTTTCAGAAAATATCAACAAGACCAAAAATAAAATTATTCAAAAATAAATTACTTGTTTTCTTCTTTCTTGTCTTTTTCCTCTTTTAGTTTTTCTTTCTTTTCTTCAACTCTCTCCACTTTATCATCAAACTCTTTTTCTGTTTCTTTCACATCACTCTTTTCTTCTGTTTTCTCGTGAATGTGTGTTTCAATATTTTCATCGTCAGTAACTTCACCAAAAGCCAATCGAAACAATTCTGGCATTACTTGTCCCGCATTACCTTTCAAGAAGTAATTAACATGTGGTGTATATGTTGATGGTTCTGGATTTATTTCAATAACAATTCCTCCATTTTCGATAAAGTTTTCTGCGATACTTGCTGCTGGATATACAACTCCTGTTGTTCCAATAATGACCATAACACCGTGTTCATCCAAACATTCTTGTGTCCATTTCTCTGCATTGTCGAAAGCCTCGCTTGGTAGACTTTCAGTGAATAATGTGGCATTTGGTCTTCCGTTTGATTTACAAATTGGGCATATTGGCGAACTCTCAGGTATTCCATTTTCAATATTTACATCAAGGGGGTGTCCATTAGTGATGCACCGATACTTAAATACGGTGCCATGAAGTTCGGCGCAGTCTTTATCTGGTATCCCTGCTTTTTGGTGCAAATTATCGACGTTTTGTGTGATAACCTTGACCTTTTTGTCTTGTCTCTTATACATTTGTGTGATCGCTAGGTGCGCTGCATTGGGTTGTGCACTCACAATCGGCTCCAAAAAGCCTCTATAAAAATACCAACTGATTCCTGGAATCCAATTCCACCCAAATGGTGTCCCAAACATCACCAATCCAATTTTGTTCGCCCAAACGCCGTGTTCTGGGTCCTATAGTGTCAATTGGTTTTTAAAATGTTATACAAAATGTTATATGTTGCAATCCCAAACTCTAAATGTGTTGATCCCACTTTCCGCTGAAATACCTGCTCCGGTAAAAAAGATGATATATCCAACGTCTTTAATAACATTTGCTGCCTTTTGTAGAGTTACTGGATCGACCATTTGTTGTGGGAGATCTTCTTTAGACATGTCTCGTGTTATTTCCAGATTTGCAAGGAAAAACATTTCATAGTCGCTATGGAATATCCCGTTTTTTGCGTAATTTTAACTCTCATTGTCTGTCAAAAAGCTTTACTTTAAATAACAAAGTACTAAAGACCAACAGAAAATTGTCGTACACTTGTGTTTTTAGTATCAAACAAACCAAAAAATAGGGTATATTTTTTCACATATAAAATTTGACTAAACAATCAGGAAAAAAATTGGGTTTTGAAAAAATAAAAACCCGACTTTATACAGAAAAAAACCTTAAAACAATGTGTACGACAGTTTTCTGGTGCTCTTTAATTTCTAATAATAAAAATAGAAACTTTATGTTTTTTATTTCGTTTAGTAAATTTAATTAATGAACGGATTATAATTAAAATATTATAAATAAACTATTACACTGACTTATAGAGGATACCTCTGTATCCCGATTACTCCTGTCCAGTGATCGACGTTTTTGTACTCATCACCTCCACCATCCTTTCTGTGCTTGTAGTCTCTCTGACGACTTTGTTGACGAGCAAGAATTTCAGGAGTTTATACATATCGACATCGAGTTCCTTGTATATAGTTTTGATTTGTCCCCAAGTGTGTGTTGGTTGTATTGAGATGATAGCTTGAACGATATCCACTTTAGTAGATTTGATCAATATAGTTCGTTTACAGTAGTTGATACAAGCCGACACCATGGTGTCATCTTCGATTAAATCGACAATTTGTTTAGTGCAGATGAATCGTTTCTCATCAGTGATTTTGGGTATCATAACTACGTATCCTCCATACACCAATTGCTTTAAAATTTCAGAGACTATTTCCTCATCTGCCCGTGCGACTTTACTGATGTCGTAGGCAGTCCGCTTTCCATTGATATATGGCATGATTTGTAACATCCCCAAATCATCGATAGCAGACAGTTCCATGATTTTGACGGGGACGTCCTCCATAGTGATGTCATCTATTTTCATGGTTGGTTCCAGTGTTAATCTTCCGAAGAGTTCAATTGAGTCACAGAAGTCGATATGACAAAATCCGTATGAATTCAGACTTTGTCTCATCTGTGGGATTATGCTTGCTAACCCATCGCGTTTACTCACGTTGATTAAATACTCCTCATTAGTTTCCAAAAGTCTCAATTCGTCATTGATTTGCTCAATAAGGTGTTCGTAGCGACTGATCGTCGAGTCCGAAGTATCTCTTGAGAAGACAAAGACAAGATTAAAGAGCAGTGCGTTTCGACCGTATTTGGGGTTTTTGATCATCGTCGGGTGTCCCACGTATATCTTCCCATTCGATGTGATTTTACTCAGTTGATTGCAAAACGCTTGTTTTGGGATGACAAAATCGATGATCGAATAAAACGCGTCCGATGTGATATAATCTGGAGGATCTTGATATACTATAACGGGTCCTTTGGTGTTGTCAAATAAGCAAAAAAAGATCGAAGAAACTTTCGTCGTGATATCCATAGGATTGTGAAAACACTCTTTTCAAGTTTACCATAGAAAATTAATTAGTATTATTAGCTTATTAATTCGTCAAATAATAGTATTTAATACTAGTAATGAATTACTACTAGTATTGTCGAGTATTAATGAAAGAACTATACTAAAATAATAAAGAGTTATATAAGTAATAGTAACTTGTATTTGAAAGCAACGAAGAAACCAACTGTAAAAGACTGAAAATAAAGATGGACTTAACAGGGCTCGCAACCCCGAAGCGTCGCGATGTAACGAAGACTATTATGGTCCAAATTAAGAGTGAGGGCCGGTACATAACGACCCCATACCTTGATCTTGTTAGTCCCTTTTGTGTACACACAGTATTAGGTAAATATGTGAATCTTCCCTCCACACAAGATCAATTAAT